TTTTTTTTTTTTAATTAATCCTGACCTAGCTTGCTCTAACAAGTTTTTAAATGGGAGTTGGTCTTACTGCTTTTATTGCTTTTATCATCCTCTTCAGGTGGTTCAAAGGAACGCAGATTATACTGTAAATACTTACTGCCCTGTTCTGGTTGACACATCCATGTATTATGTTCATTTTTCTTAATTGTGGCATTTTCCACTCTTGCTTAGTCCTCTTGGTCCTTATTCTTCCTATGTCATGAAAAGCCATACTTTTTTTTTTTTTTTTTTGAGACAGTGTTTTGTTCTGTTACTCATGCTAGAGTAAAGTGGCAGAATGATCTTGGCTCACTGCAACCTCAGCCTTTCCCAGGCTCAAGGGATCCTTCCACGACACCAGGTTATCTTGTATTTTTAGTAGAGATGGGGTTTTGCCTTGTTGCTGAAACCCCATCTCTACTAAAGATGGCTGGCTGGTCTCAAACTCCTGGTTGGCCTCCCAAAGTGCTGGGATTATAGGCATGACCCACCATGTCTGACCTTTTTCTGAATTTCTGTCAAACTAGACATTCTTCCAACATTGACTTTTGAAAATTTAATTAGTTATATCCCTAGTTAAATAAAGATTTGGCCAGCTGCAGTGGCTGACGCCTATAATCCCAAAACTTTGGGAGGCCAGGGTGAGCAGATCACTTAGGTTCAGAAGGTGGAGACCAGCCTGGCCAACACGGTGAAACCCCAACTCTATGAAAAGTACAAAGATTAGCCAGACATGGTGGCAGGCATCTGTAATCCCAACTGCTTGGAAGGCTGAGGTGGGAGAATCGCTTGAACCCAATTGAGGTGGAGATTGCAGTGACCCGAGATGATGCTACTGCACTCTAGCCTGGCCAACAGAATAAGACTGTCTCCAAAGAAAAAAACAACATAGATTTAACACTTGGGGAGGGGTGATAATTTTGCTTAAATAATGAAACATACAGTATCACAAGGTGATTTTTTTTTTCTTTTCTTTTTTTTGGGACTGAGTCTCCCTGCCAGGCTGGAGGGCTAGGCAGTGGTGTAATCTCGGCCCACTGCAACCTGTACCTGCCATGTTCAAGCAATTCTTCTGCTTCAGCCTCCCAGGTAGCTGGGATTTCAGGTGCCCACCACGACACCCAGCAAATTTTTGTATTTTTAGTAGAGATAGGGTTTCATCATGTTGGCCAGGCTGGTCTTGAACTCCTGACCTCATGTATTCTGCCTGCCTTAGTCTCCCAAAGTGCTGGGATTACAGGCATGAGCCACTGCACCCAAGGTGATTTTTTCTTTGTAAATTTCTTGTTTTTAAATGTAAACTTCAGCAATGCTAAAGCGAGACGAATTTCTAATAAACTGATAGTGGTAAATAGAATGTGGTAATATGCAACATAAAAAAGACTACATGCAAAAAAGGAAAGCATTTATTTATTTTAGATAAAATTTAATACATACTTTCTTCTCTGTTTTGTTTTTTGAGATGGGGTCTCGCTCTGTTGCCCTGGCTGGAGTGCAGTGGCCCAATCTCAGCTCACTGCAACCTCTGCCTCCCAGGCTCAAGTGATCCTCCCACCTCAGCCTCTCAAGTAGCTGGGACTACAGGCAAGTGCCACCACAGCTAGCTAATTTTTCGTATTTTTGGTAGAGATGGGATTCCACCATGTTGCCCAGGCTGTCTCAAACTCCTGAGCTCTAGTGATCCACCTGCCTCAGCCTCTCAAAGCCCTGGGGTTACAGGTGTGAACCACCACACCCAGCCTGTCTTGTTTTTGTTTTTGGAATTTATAGTCTCTTTATCTTCTGGCAAAATACTAGAAGCAAAAGGAAAGATTTTTAAAAGGAAAAAAGATCAATGGGGCAAATAGAAATAGCAAGATGATAGATTTAACTTAATCATATTGAATATTATATTAAATGTATATTGTCTAAAGTTTAAACTCTAAAACATAATTTCCTCTTTTGACAGAATCTCACTTTGTTGCCCAGGCTAGAGTGCAATGGCGTGATCTCAGCTCATTACAAACTCCACCTCGTGGGTTCAAGCGATTCTCCTGCCCCAGCCTCCCGAATAGCTGGGATTACAGGCTCGAGCCACCATGCCCAGCTAATTTTTGTATTTTTAGTAGAGATGAGGGTTTCACCATGTTGGCCTGGCTGTTCTCAAACCCCTGACCTCAGATGATCCGCCCACCTCAGCCTCCCAAAGTGCTGGATTATAGGAGTGAGCCACTGCGCCCGGCCCACTCTAAAACATTTCAGTTAAAAGATAGAGATGGCCAGGCACAGTGGCTCAGGCCTATAATCCCAGCACTTTGGGAGGCCCAGGTGGGCAGATCACTTGAGCTCAGAAGTTCAAACCAGCCTGGACAACATGGCGGAAACCTGTCTCTACAAAAAATACAAAAAATTATACAAGTGTGGTGGTGCATGCCTGTGGTCCTAGCTACTTGAGAGGCTGAGGTGGAAGAATGGCATGAGCCCAGGAGGCAGAGGTTGCAGTGATCCAAGATCATGCCACTGCACTACAGCCTGGGAGACAGCCAGACCCTGTCTCGTAAATGAATGAATGAATGAATGACAGAAATGATCAACTTTGGCAAAAAAACAAGACCCAACTATAAACTGCCCATATGAAAACCCCAATGAAAAGAATGTTGAAATATATTAATATCAAAGTAGATTTTAGAATGAAGAACATTGTCTATGATAAAGACATTTCATACTAATGAAGGGGTCACTTCATTGAGAGGACCTAAAAAATCTTAAATGTTTATGCACAGAGCTTCAAAATACCGAAAGCAAAAACAAAACTTAGAAAGAGACAAAATAATTCTGATATGTTTGGAGATTTCAACACTTCTTTCTTAGTAATTGATAGAAAATTAAAAATAGGCAAGGTGTGGTGGTCCATACCTGTAATCCCAGCACTTTGGGAGGCCCAGGTGGGAGAATCGCTTGAGCTCAGGAATTCAAGACCAGCCCAGGCAACATGGCAAGACCCTGACTCTTAAAAACAAAAATGTTAAAAAATTAGCCAGGCATGACGGCAGGCACCTGTAGTCCCAGCTACTCGTGAAGCTGAGACAGGAGGATTGCTTGGGCCCTGGAGGTCGAGGCTGTAGTGACCTGTGATCATGCCATTGCACTCCATCCAAACTGGGCAACAGAGTGAGAGCCTGTCTCAAAAATAATAATGATTTTAAAAATTAAAAAATTATGAATCACTCATTTTCTAACAAAACCCAGGGTATGTACAGGACTATCCCTTGGGTGAAAGGAGAAAGT